CATTGCTGCCTGTTTTGGATTTGCGCTCCTAGTTCAGCTTCCCCTCATCTGCTATCTGGTCATCGAGAAGGTGGAACTTCCTATCATCTCCTGTGGGGTGAACGGGCATGCGAGGCCACCGTGGTCGGGAATGCATTCCTGGCTTTGGTAACTACACGCCTACATTGACAGCATCATGATCACTCAAATTCCGTTCCTTATTCTCGTTGTCTGTAATTTTCAGATTGTACGTGCAATGCGACGTTCAGATGGTTTCCGTCTCGGGCACACGGAACAGCCGGAACAGCAGATTTTGAAGAATGATGGCCTCAAAGAGAGCACCTACTTCAACTCTCGTGTTTCGCGACGACTCAAACTGACCCGTGGTCTGCTAATGGTCATCGTCACCTGCTCTGTAATCATGCTGCCTCTAAGTATTGCTCAGGTCCTTTCCATACCCTTTTTGCGTCACCCCACTTGTGTCTGCATGGTCGAATTTATCACTTGTTTCTATATGGTGGCACTTTGAACTCAGATAAACTCGACGGCGAAGTTTCTTATCTACATTTTCTATTAGGGAAAGTACCGGAGGATGCTAAATCGGATGCTGGCTTGTCAATATGCGAACCCTATCCCGTCCCTTTAATGATCGCGTACTAACGCCAGCTGTGATGTTTCTGCAGATGGTGGATTGGACGTGTACCGCATCAAGCTTTCTGGACCAACCCGCATGACATTAAGAAGCAGTATGGAAATCTAAATGAAGAATGATCTTTTGTGTATTGTTGTTATAAATAACTGCATGCATTTTTGAATTAAATCAACCTCTTTTTCTCCTCCCTTTCATTTCTGGCCTTATTTGAGTCTGCGAGCATTTTTTTAAGTAGGCGAGGCATTCTTGCATTTATGCCGTCAGAGACGTTTCGGAAATAAATGAAACTGAATACTGAGGAGGATTTAACCCACTATCTCATAAATGCCAATCGATGGAAGTATTTGATAAGGATTTGATGCTATCGTAGTCGATTAAGCAACCAACACGCTCAAATCGAGCAAGGAGAGTGGGCTTTCCGCAGATTACGGCCCACACACCGGCTATCATGCAGCTAGCGCAAGAGCGGGCAAACATCCTGAAGAGTGGGAGCCGTTCGTTGTCAAGCTTATGCAGCTGCATATTTACTGTGTTTCTTGAACGTTTAAGCCATTGACTTCGAAGCTGGACATGCGTCAGAATCCAAACTGTCAAGCAACTTGCGTCCTTGTCTCGAATTTTATGTTTGTTGTGTATTAATTTAGATGTAACAGTATAAGCTTATTAGAGGGCAATCAAACTAACGCGTGTTTCTTCAAAAGCCATATATTGCCGGTCTGAACTTTGCCGATGTACAGAAGCAATGGCACATTAATTTGTCATAATAAGTTGACCGATGTACCTGGGAATATTTTTGCGCAGTACATAATGGTAAAACCTTTCGCTTATGCTTACTTTGAAACTTCACAGACGGAAAAATAAAAATTATTTCAAAAATGACCATACACGAAAACTCTTTTTTGTATTTGCAAGCTTGTAGCAGATCCTGGAAGTAGTCTACTATGGCGGAATATAGTTTATTAGAAAGCGGAAAGTAGGTTGCTTCGCCCCCATTCAAATCAAATCGCTTATCTTCAGGTGAATTTTGAAAAATGTCAAAATTCTTCAACGTCCACTGAGATCACCTTAGAAGACGTTTATATTCGCAGAAATTCGTCAGCTGCATATCCACTTAAAGCACCTTTAAAGAAGTTACCTATTAAAGAAAGTGTTTTTATTAATCTCAAAGCAACCATATCAGAATCATCTCGCGGACGTTCTTTATGCTCGACAATGTGGTTTGCTGTTTTAAGACATTTATGGATATCATCCACATGAGAACTTGTATGCAACAACTCAAGTTTCCTTCAAAATACTCTTCGTATATATCTCATCTTCAAGATCTTGATGTAAACGTCGCACATAAGCTCAACTGATGAATGAATACATGAAGACACTGAGCCCGCCGGAAATTAAAGGGCGATATGAAATAAATAGGAATCCACTAATGGCATTATGTATAAAAATCTTGAGTAAAGAAATTTTCTTTCAATATAAGGAAAGTAGGCACGACATAATGTCAAATGACAAAAAGATTTAAATTTATTGCTTATATTTATACCTTTTTTACGTATCCGCATCTCGGGGTTTTTTTGAAAAAATTTTTTTTCTTTAACAAAACTTAGGATTCATGTGGCTAAAGCTGTTCATTATTACTTCAAATTTTTGTAACTACGTTCACACCGATGTGCAAAAAATGGTCAATCTTTTACAAAGTTATGAATGCTGCACGATATTTGGGATATACTGTACATGTTGCAATATCTGATTATTGCAGTTGAGTCAAAAGATATCTATTGTCAATATGGTTTCTGTCGGTGCACATAAACAATGAAACATAAAGCCGTCACAATGGCTTAATCTAATAGCCTAGGAATTTTGGTGCGCTGAACTCAAAAGTAAAACCCCTGTTAAGGAATGATATCCAAATTAAAACGCTTTTGAGAAGTCTGATTAAAATTGCATTATTTGAGCCCCTATTATATTTAAATCATGAAAATCAAGGCAAAAAGTATCACTAATTTCTCTTGTTAAAGACATATCAGTAGTACTCAACGGAGCAAAAATATTTAGTAACTATGATAAGTACTATCGTGTTTACATTCAGCCGATTACCCGAGGAGCTCGAGTTCGTTTTAAGCAGTGTTGCGTCGAGCTTATATAGTTATACGGCCGCTACATTACGAAAAACCTGCGGATTAGTAGGCATGTCATTGCACGTGCACGTCTTTATAGAAGCGGTATGTGGGTAGAATACATAGAGTCGGCCAAGAGAATTCACCGTGTACTGTAGTCGACAAAGACAATGCGAATTTCATGATGAAATTAGACTGGGTACGTTAGCTTATATTTATTAAAACAATCTTGATTCATTCAGTTTATTGAATTCTGCGAAAGCATTTTAGTTAGTTAAATCGTCAATCTATTTAGGTTTATTAAGAGAAATGGCCATTAATTTTGGAAAAATTGGGAGTATTCTCATATCGAGGGAATTTCCTATGCTTTTACAAAAAAGAGAACCAAACTGCATGTTAATTTTGATTATACTATAAAGGAACTCCAAAATAAGTAAAATAAGTACAGAAGATATCCCTTCCAGTACTGGAAAAGTTTGTCCAAAATTGTTCGGATTCAAGTGAAGCCAAGTTAAAGGAATCACATTTATTTGCAGTAACGTGGGAGATTTTTATTTTAAAAATTATGTTGAGCTATACTGTAAAGTTTTTTTGCACAAAGTGCAGTAACAGAAGAGTGTTTGTTTTAATGAAGAAACAACACCCAAATGTCCTTGAGCAAACGCAAAATGTCATGATAACGCGAATTTAAGACAAGGCAGCCCTTATTGAATGTAAGTCGTGTAGAAATATAGTTCCTTGTGTACCTTACGTTCCCCTTTTGCGTTATATAGAAACGGAGCAGACAGAAGAATAATAAATATTTCAAAAAATGGCAATGCATGTGGCCAGTTTTTTTTTGAATTTGCAAGATAATATCAGAAACTGGAATTAATCCTCTTATGCGAGAAATAGTCCACCATAATGAGAAAAGAAAGTTCTTTCATCTTCAGTCAAATTGAATCGTTTATCTTCAGG